TCCTTAAAACTGTGCTTTATGCTGGACAGTATTTATTTATCGTGAGGTGTTAAAATCGCGGTAATCTAATACGGTTTTAATGATAATTAAAATATGAAACGGTAATACTAACCGTCGGGAATTTTATCATGATTTATCGTCAAACCGGTAATCGTTACATCCCTAGATGCAAGGTCATTGTAAAACATGGCTGTTCCTCAATAAATGCTGCAGGAGCTATATTTAGAGCGAAGACAACTAATAAATCCGTTCTGCAGAAATAATGGATGTCTCTGGCCAGTGCTGCTTTGTCCAAAATTAAATGCCAGCTCAGCTTCTATCACAAATGGTATCTTCAGAGACATGATGTACTTCTTTAAACGGTTTAGCGATTTAGATATACCAGACACTTCTCCCTTAACCGGCTAAAACGTTCCCTCCTTCCCCACCACGAGAGCAGCACAGCAGGTGGATCTTTTGACTCGCACCCAAGGAAAAGTTCAAACTAAATTCCATACAGATGCCTCCTTCACTGGAGAGGAAGAACCTCCCATTAAGCACTTGAACAACCTAGCACAGCACCGGTGACTATTCCCCTACGTTCCTCTCCCTTAATTCAGTAGCCATCGCAACCCCCCCTGCTCTAGACATTGGAGCACACAAGGTTGCCAAAACCAATGAAAGGGGGGTGGGTAGGAGGTGTCTTGCATTTGGCATCTGCTATGGCTGGCCATTGCTCTGTGCTCCGCATCCCAAGGGGAATGGGACAGAGGTGCCCTGTTGGACGTGCCAACGATGGAAGGATGAGCAAATCGCACAAAGCCCTTTTAAGTAAGAGCCCAGAAGCCCCCCGCCGTTTCTCGTTTCCTCTGTGTCACTCCATCCCTAAAAACATCTGAAAGAATTCCAACACACACGAACACAAAACATGCCTCTTTTTCCTCTCTAAATATAAACATTACTAGAAGGGAACCATTCAAACATTGCATCGGCATTTATTTACGCTCTGAACTCCGTACTTGCTCCTTTGTGAGTCTCTCGGCTCTTTGTCCCCACTTGATCTGGCACTCTTTGCAACCTGAGCTCTGATAAAGGCCATATGGTGTGGCCGCAAGCCCAAAGGTGACAGCGCCCCATATGATTCTCATTAAGAACGAGTCGCAGTGACTTTGGGAACGAGGTACCTTTGGTAATGTATTAGCATAGACTAATAGCATGGGTTAATTAAGCTATAATATAATCCAGGTGCTTTGAAATGTGTGCTTTTTAATGACTGGATGGTGGTGCAGTAAACAAGAGGAGGTTGACAAGGGTTCCCTTCAAAACTTTCTGGAATTAGGAGACTTACCCGGGTAGAAGTCTTTGGATTTGGACAGCTTGATGGTGGCCCCTGTCTCTTTCTGCAGCTGGACAATAGTCTGACCACCCTTGCCAATAATGGAGCCTGCGGCGTAGCTTGGAATCAGCACCTTCAAGAAATATTCGCCTTCCTCTGGAAACAGAAAAAGAGAGAAAAAATTAACTCTGCAATAGATTTACACTTTTTTTGACACATACAATAAATTATATATATATATATATATATATATATATATATATATATATAAAACATACAATAAATAAATATATACACAACAGATTTTAATACAATTTTCTGTAATCTAACATTTATACTACTGCTACTATTACTAATAATTATCAATTTACAATAGATTTAAATATTATTTTTCTGTCATTTAACATGTAAATTAATTATTTAAATAAATACATACTTGCAACAGATTTCAATAAACATTTTCTGCAATCTAATAAGTACAACTATTATTATTATTACAAATATTATATAAATTTTTCTGTAATCTGACATCTTCATTTATTTTATGCACTTTTGCCTACTCTTAAATGCATAAAACTACTTTTGTAGACATACATAAATTACTACAATAACTACAATTTTAATTACATTTTAATTACAATTTAATTTAATTTTTAATGGATGAATGTGAGCAGGGAGAGTGAAGAAAAAGCAGCCAACAAGTGTTCAGGATACATGGGAACGTCTTTAATAATATATACAGTTTAAAAAGCATCCCAGGTGGCACCTCATGAAGCTGGTTGAATGCCCAGAGTGTAATCTAGCAAAGGGTGGCTAATTTAAGCAAGCTAAAATATAAGATAACTTAACATTTTTGGTCACTAAATACGTCACATCCATCAATTTGTGCTACATCACAGATTTTATGGCTTCTTATTATTATGAAATGTAGAATAAAGTGATAAAGACTGAGGAGGTGTGTCCAATTTTTTAAATTTTAGCGGATATAAAATATGGCCGCACAATGCATGGATTCACATTCTTGCTAAATGTCTTAAATGCCTGACTTGTGAGAAAACGCACATCTAGATCTTATCTAAGAGGCGATCAGAGAAGGCAGCTATAAATAAAAGTCAAGCTGAAATACTATACCAGCAAAGAACTACAAGACCACTATAATAAGATCAGTGGACTTAACGAGTAGTAATTAACGCTGAACCACAAGTATTAACGCTTAAGTTAAGGAGGGCTGATAACAGTCAAGAGCAGAACATAAACGGAACAAGAAAATTGCAAGTTATGTAAGTAGGAAAGATCCGGGATGAGGGTACATTTTGTTAAACACGTCAATCAAAGTAAGTGCAAGAGAAGATGAATTTGAAAAGACGTATTAAGAGACTCACGTTCTATGTAACTGGCAAGCTAGACATTGGAAAGTAGCCATTTATAGCAAATGAATAGTAAGGTGCATATAATATAGCACAAGACATCCTGATTTCACTTCCCTCTTGAGAAAGGTCAGCAAAGGTTTTCCTGAAAGTGGAGCAGTGGTGGGGCAGTAAAGTGCCTCATCTATTGTTGGGCTCTACCTGGCTGCTGCATATCCAGGTCAGCAGAAGCACAGTACATGGTCCCTTCACCGTGACTTTAACATGACATTGTATCCTTCTGCCTGGGCCGCTTGGGTACGCGCTTAATATTCCATCACAATTAATCTGTGTCGGCTCCCAGAAGACGGCCACTTTAGATTAGATTGTTATTCTGGAGAAGTAGTTTATCTTGTCAAGCTAGGCTGATGGCTAGGCTAAGCTACATGCACTTGCAGCCTAACACTGATGATTGGGTAAAAATGAAAGAGACTACTGGACAGAGTATTAATGTCAGAGTGCAGCTGGAAAAACAAATGAGCTAACAATGGCAATGACGACAATGTCTTGGTTGAAGGCCCAACTTAACTGCATCAGTGGCAAAGTAATGACACATGTCTGTAGTTATGTGTGAACCAAATTAAGAGAAGTGTTAGCTTTCTGTTAACAAGATGGACGTGACAGATCAGATTATTTAGAGCAGGAAATCATAGAGAGGGTTAGTAGATATAGTAGATATTATAGATAAGGTTCAAATTCATTGTTCACCTTATAGCATTTAAAAACTGGCCTTTTTTCTTTTGTGGAGCACAAAAGGAGTAAATTTGATTAATGAAATAATCTGACTTTACCACGTATTTACAATGAATGGGAATTGGAGCTTTCTGATAAACCATTCAAGTAGTCCATACGACTCGTGTGCAGGATTGTGTGGAGAATTGAGCAAAATTGAACTCATAATTGTCACTGAGCTAGTAAGCGTTGTCAGCAGATCATGGATTCAGTGAGTTGAACTCAAGTCTGATTCATGAATGAATCATTCACACTGGTTTTGTGATGTGGATCAGCTGATTCATGGAAAAGATCTGACTCAACCGATTGATTCTTCATGATTCAGCCATAATTTAAACTTGCAAATGTCAAACACACGTCAACATTTTCAATGCATTATGACTTCATTTATATCTGTTTCTCATACAAAACTACTGTGTGACTTCAGAATACTTCAGATATAATGCACAAGTCGTATGGACCACTTTTATGATACTTTCATGGTGCTTTTTTGTAATTTTGGGGATTCACAGTCACCATTCACTTTTATTATATTAAATAGAGTGGTCTGAATATTCTTAAAACAATTTGTATTTCACTGAATTAAGTCATACAGGTTTGGAATGACATGAGAGTGAGTTTCATTTATAGGTGAATTACCTCTTTAAAGGAAAAGTTCACCTAAAAATGAAAATTATGTCATCATTTACTCACCCTCAAACAAACTGTATGAATTTCTTTCTTCTGTTGAACATAAAAAAAAGATAATTTGAAGAATGTGAGTAACCAATCTGTTTCTGGTACCCATTTGACTTCCATGGTATTTATTTTCCAAGTCAGTGAGGACCAACCATATTTTGAACATTCTAAAATACGTTTAAAATATATTCTAAAATATATTCTTTTATGTATAACAGAAGAAGAAAACCATACAGGGTTTGGAACAACTTGAGAGTGAATAAATGATGACAGTATTTTCATTTTTGAGTGAACTATCCCTTTAACAGTAAGGAATGGTATCATTTTAACAATGTTTAAGTCTTCTTGAAGTAATCTCATTAGAATCACAGGCCAATTGATCTGGATGTGTAATGAAGTGGATCTCTAACTAAACAAGTATAGTCTCATATTTAGCCAGAATAGTTGTACTGGATGCCACCAGATTATGAATTGCATAAACAACAAGGGAATAATGGAGGTTACTGTGACACAAATAAATGTACTCAGAACTGGGTTCACAGACACCTCTAAATGACAAATCCTGATTTTTCACTCACATACTAAAAATTGCCGTTGTTTTCGCACTTCATAAACAGGTGGTTCAAACTGTATCTACAGAACACTACAGATACATGCTTTTCTGCAATGACCCAGATTTCTCACTGAGCTAAGACTGTCCTCCTTTTGATTTGGATGAGTCTAAATTTAACCTTGATTAATATGGTGCAGGGTTCATAAATAATGTGTATCATGCATACATAAGTATTCTCTCTTCAAAAGCATCTAACAAAAGTCTGTCATGAATTGGATCAAGAGGCTGCGTCCAGACTGGCTATAATTGACATTATCTACTCTAATTAATGTAACACATGATATTATGTTAAGCATCATATTTTCATAACAATATTGGGCTGTTTTGAAGGTTACACATTTTACTTTGTTAATTATGAGCAGCAAAATATAACAAAGCATTATGGTGGTTATGCAGTGAAAAAGAAAGAAAGAAACAGCACAGAGTTAAAGGTAGACTCTGGTTTGCAGACAACAAAATATGTATGTAATTTTTGCAGAAAATTAAACAAATTACCGTGAAATCCGACAAAATCTGATGATGAAAATGGTGGATCATGGATGGCCGCTTGGTTGCATCTCTCTAAAAGAATGCGAATGAGAAAATTAATCTTTGTGGAAATGTCAGATAGAAAAACAAAACAAGGTGAAGTACAGAACAATGACAGAGTCCACCTTTAAACGAGAATCAAGAACATACCTGTGAATGTTGATGTCATGTATAAAGATACAGGATGAAGTAATAATTAACTTTATAGCAATGACTTCTTGGTTTCCAATCATTTCCACAATTATTTTAAATCAAACATGGCCTGATGACATTGTTCAATGAATAATACATTCAGTAATTTGCTCTGAATTAAAAGACTATTCCAGGTTCAATACAAGTTAAACTCAATCGACAGCACTTGTGGCATAATGTTCATTACAACAAAAATGTATTAATTTGTACTTATGCTTCATTTTCTTTAAACAAAGCAAATTACAGTAAGGCACTTACAATGGAAATAAATGGGGGCCAATCTGTAAACACTGTTCCAGTAGTTTCAGTCACAAGATGTAAACAATATGTGTTAATATGATTTTAGTGCAACTAACCTCTTCTGTGGAAAGTTATATCCAGGTTTACAACATGACAACGTAACACCTAAAGCCCTAAAATGGCCATAAACATGACAAGAACAGCTCAAATAATACACAATAATTAACAGAACAATTAAAGAGCTTTTGTAAATTTTGAAGCCTCGTATTTCTGCTTTTAAATCCTCTGGATATTAGCCTCATTCACTTCCATCATAAGTGTTTCACCATACCCTTAATATTTCCGTTTTTTTTTTAAATGAGGGACAAGTCGATTTTATTTTTTAATTTAATTTAATTTTTTTGAGATAATCTACATTATGCCACAAATGCCGTTGACTGAGCTTAACTTGTAATGGACTAATGAACCCAGAATATTCCTAGTAAACCTACAGTATAAACCAAAATCAGTTTTGTCATTCTCAGTTTCTTCTCTTCTAAAACATGGAGCATCTACAGCCCAAGTTTGAGTTGGATTAAACTTATTTCCTGTCACTTGTCAACACAAAGCCCTTGGCTGAGAAAAATCAGTGGATTACACTACACGCATATCCGTAGCAGTGCCTTTGAGGGAAATGAGTCCCTCCCATTGTGCTACACCAGGAACAAAACAAGAACAAGTTGGTAGTACGCTGTTATTTTCCCCTTCAGTCTACTTAATATCTTAATAAGCCCTGTCTTGTGTGTACATCTATATAATTACATGCATCGCACTCACTGAGAAGTCAGAATAATTAATAAAAACGCCCAAATGGGTATTACTCATAATAAACCAGTGGTTGTAAACACAAATCATTGGTTGCTAGAGGCTCCCAAGACAGCTGTGGTTCAGAATAAGCAACATCAGCTTGAGGATTGAAGGTTCCTGTGGGCTTATGTTGGGGGCCTTAAAAAAACAGGCACAAAGCAATAAAGCTACGAACACTTTGATTCTTCTTTCTTGTATGCATTGTAGATTTATACCATGCCATAGATTTATACCATAATTGGGTTACATAGCATTTGTTGTGCTTAAGTACAACAAACATACATCTAATTTTAGTGGAGTGATGAAAGGACCACTTTTCCTGCGCGGCTGTCCAAGCAACTGCCTGACCAAAATGGCTTCCGATATAAACATTGCACTCGGAATAAAACATACTACTCGCTTTCTGTCGCATGTGAGAGAAAGCAGCATGCTTTGTTCTAACAAGCGCGAAGGCTCGAGGAGAAGCTTTAGCATTGCTTCTTTCATTCGTCTCATCCATATTCATCTCAGGTCCCATCCTCCATTCCACGGCAGACGAGCCGAGAGAGGCGAGCAAATCATCCAATGTGGGGCCGCCTTTTACAACGCCCTCCCAAATCCTCGCCATCCTGCATGAGATTTTTTTTTTCTTTGACGCAGTGCATTAAAGAAAAAAACGAAGCAGCGCCCCCTTCGTGATCGTACGGTGATCAATAGAAAGAGCGTTGCTTGGATAATCAATGACTTGCTGCTATTGAGGGGAAATGAGAGAGATGGACTCGGGAAGGAAGAAGTAACGATCGCCCCGACCCAGAACCGTGATTAGAGGCGAAACAAACAAACGATGGGGGAGCAGAATGCAGCGCACCCTAAATGTATTTCTGCTGAGCCTATCAAAAACAGCCGTAGCAAAAACCTGTGCGTTTAATCTGAAAACCGGTGGGAGTATTGCATTGTAGGATGTGAGTGAACGAGGTGGGCGACAGCGACGATTCGGTTATTGGTCCACGTATAAATGTCTGAGGGGGTGGAGGTGAATCTTCAAACACAGCTGGCAAATCATGTTTATGTAACAACCCTTTCTAAGACAGATCCCGCATCTATTTTCTCATCCTGCGGGCAGAAATGCACAAGCAAGAGAATCTAAAAAAAAGGCTAGTCACAAATTCAGTGCCGAGCAGCAACCGAAAATGTCTTTATATAGTAAAAACAACACAGGATCGTACGCACACACACTTCCACGCTTTCTTCTAGCCTTAGAGGGTCACAGTCCCCTCACGCCGTCCAGCTAGAACATCTGTATCCCCTAAAACAACCCGTACTGTGCCAGTCCATCCATTTACAAAATTAAAACATTACATCTTATGAGACAGCTCAGGAACGTGGAGAGAGGCTCTTTGGTGAACTTGAAGTCGAAGACTTAACGATCAATTGGCAGGAAAATTATTCTTGGTTTTAAGCCAATTGTCTTTCATCTTAATGCCTATAACTTTGTTTTTCAGGCAGCCTTTAAAATGCAATAATTTGTCATCCACATCATGATTTAATCCAATAAATAAAGAGTTAAAACAATATGCATGTCTCACAAAATATGATACTAATCCAACAAGTATGTAAACACCAAATCAAAGACAGTAAATGTTATAAGAAAACAAATTAGACATAATATTGTCGTAGGACTGGATCCTTAGTTTCATCTCAAAAACGGTTCAAAAAACTACATAAATGGTTCGGATTCACACTAACTTGTCTGATAATCTGCCTGTGTAACGTCTTGTGTTTAACTATAAACCACAAAGCGGAAACTACGGGTACATGTTGACCCTAAACAGATTCAACCATGTTAATACATGCCATATTTTTTCAACTCTTTTAATATAAATGGGAAAAACTAGAACATTCCCTTCCACATATTTATCTATGTCTTATCAACTCTTAGAGATACAAAACACTAAATTAATCATTTAAAAATAATCAGCATTTCTATTTTGTAATTTTCCAGAGAGCCATTTAAGTGAATAAATGTGGATGAATTAGTATAAATATAGACGCTTAAATAGAGCAATAGTGTCATATTATAATACTAAAATGACTGTGTTGTAATATTAATACATCCTTCTATACTACTGTAGTTATATGTATTTTAAATAAACTGGAATCAATTAATTGAGTATTTAAATAGAATCAAGGCTCCTACAGCTTTTGACCAGTTAAATTTTACACTACTTAACTGGCTATGGGTTTCAATCATTTTATAGAGGTTGCATGCACAGAGAGCAATTATATAATTTAATAGCTAAACATAACAACAGAAAATTGTGTATTACCAATAGAAAATTCCATCTTTCCATGACATTTCAAGATTTTACGAATTTCTCTGACATTTTCAGGCCTGGAAATGACAATATTAAAATTTCCAGATTCCCTTCCATAACTCTGGAAACACCATAGAATAATTCCTCTTGGCAAACAAATTCTGGTGAAGCCCAGATCTCTTAAGCATCAAAGTCTTTTCATTTGAGCAAATGGATCTGCAGGTTATGCCTCCCACGAGTCCAGCATGCTTCTTCTGACTGACAATTCATAACGCTTTCTGCATCGATTCTTTCACATGTAAACATCCGCCAATCACTTCATTTATGCGCCATTATTAACCCTTTAACTGTAACTACAAACACTTATTTTACTGGAAAAAAACCTAGCAGGTCAAATAAATTGTTCTTGCACTTCTATTTTAATTCTGACCTTTATTGAATATAAATATTGACCGCTGATATATTGCCTAGGCTAATATCTCTAATATGAAGATGTTTCTTCTTCTCTACCTTTAATGTGAGGAAGTTCAAAAAGACCCAAATAAGATGGTTTCCTGCAAAATGACACTAAAGGTGGGAATTTAACCATCACAGATCAGAAAAACAATGGTTTACATGATTAACCTGCTACCAAACTAAGATCTACCAATCGGCTAAAACACTTAAAGATTAAGGAATACATGCATATTTTGTTTTTAACTGATTAATTACATGACTAGCCTAACAGCTTAGCAGACAATTGTTGTGCACACGAGACTTCTTATGGCATCTGCCGGAATGCATAATAAACAAGCAAGCATGGGTCCAGTATAAACAATAGACTACAGTAAAAAAAATTGAAGGTATAGTGCACGTCGGAGCACAGAAATGTCGAATATCAGTGATGCAGGTGAAGCACGCATACAGAACATTTCAGGCTTTTACTTAATTTTTGAGTATCATGTTATAGTAAATCGTAAAGTGCAAGTGATATTATAATTTGTAACGCTATCATTATACATCTCATAAAAAATATTCTAATCGTTTATCATTCATAACTTTATTTTTCAGGTCCAAATTTCTAAATAAAAGATTATACGTTAGATTCAAAGCACAAGATCATAACGCAAGGTCATCTGCGGTGATAGCAAGGATGCGTAAACGCAACGAGCCATGTTTTTTAATGTTTTGGTACGCACTCATATTTAATATTAGCCTATATATATTTAGGAATACACAACCGCTTTATTCCATACATAAGCCGTTAATTTAGGAATACTGAGGATGTGTTTGGTAAACGACTATCGTAGGTGCGTAAACCTAGACGCAACCACCAATTCTGGGCCACTTAAAATGGACGGTAACTGTAAATATGAATATAATCCCAGATGCACATGTCTGGTGAAGCATGACCGCGTTAGATGGTGAGACGCTCCGTGGAAAGCGAAAATTTACATCAAAGCACTTGTCTTTGGGAAGAGTCGCTAATTCATTGGCAAATGAGTTGCCTATCTAGGTAACGTTTGGGTCTTACCTCCTGTGTTTGTGCGTTTGGTGCTGCTGGCCTCCGTTGGGGTCTCCAGGGGTCTTTTGCGGGAATCGGGGGGATCAGACTCCATGTGCGGCTGCTGATTGTGATGATGTGGATTGGAGAAAATCCCGTTTTGCTGCACTGCCCCACCGGCCATCATTTTTTATAAAGAAGCTCGCTCTCGTTTTCCTAGACGTGATACGCAGATATGGTCGTTTGAATGTGATGTTTGGGGTGCGTCGATCCTCCGTAGCAGCCTAGATACAGAACGAAAGACGCATCGATATCCAGTAGCTCGATTATGCTCAAGTGATGTGGGGAAACGTCCTCACTCGTGGCTTGCGATGGCGCTCTCCTGCTGGAAACAATCTATGACCTCAGTGGTCAGCAGAACTCAAAAGATTCACTGCTAAAAACTGGGAAGATGTGCGCGGATAATAAACAGCAACGGGAAATGTACAAGAGGCGAGAGACAAAAACAGCGGATCCCGCATGCAGGTGGGCAAACCCTGCAGATAGAGCTGGATGGACGAGCGCTTGGAGGAGATGCGATGTTTTTGTAGGCTCTGACTCGGAGATGCTGCAGTCTTGCTTTCAGAGCATCTTTGCGCGTTTCTGCTGGAGCTCAGGACAGCGGGTGACGTCATGTGGAGCCGAGACCGCGGCTGTCAAATGTGGAGAAGCAGACACGCCCACCTCGAACTGTGATTGGTCGAGGTTTGATTTTTCTCCGGCAAAGCGATGTATAAATCCTGCTTGTCACATGACAATACAGGAGGTGGTGGCGGTGATGAAAATGCGAGAGCATCATTGTAAAATAGGCGCAGGGATGTAAAAAATTAAAATGCGCAGCTCGTCTCTGTCTAATCCAGAATTATACGACAGTATATTTTTATTATTAGGCAATAATAATTATTATATTATTATTATAATTATTGTTATTATTGTTATGTGACTTGTACTTTTATTTATTATTATTATTATTATTATTGTATTGTTAATTTTTGTCATTTTATTTATTTATTAATAGAAGTAGTAGTACATTTATTTATTTTCATTTTTATGCCATTTTATTATTACTTAATATAAATAACAATTACAATTACATACAAAATAAACAATAATACGATTTAATTTATATAATGTTATTATTATTAGTAGTAGTAGTAGTACATTTAATTATTTAATTTATTATTATTATTATTAATGCAATAATATTCATATAAAATGGCAAATTATTTATTTATTTTCATTTTTATGCCATTTTATTATTACTTAATAATAATAATCATAATCATATAAATACAATATAATTACAATTACATACAAAGTTAAACAACATTTAATTTATATCATTTTATTTTTTACTATTATTATTAGTAGAAGTAGTATTACATTTAACTATTTAATTTATTATTATTATTATTATTAATGCAGTAATATTAATAATTGACAAATTAAACAATAATAACATTACTGTAATTTTATTATTATTATTATTATGCATTTTGTAATTGTATTATTGTTATTTAATAATAATAATAAGTAAATTAAATACAAACAATTACATAAAAAATAACATTTATGTAATTTTTAGGCCTGCAAAACCATTAATCACGATTAATGGCATTCAAAATAAAAGTTTGTTTACATACTATATGTGTGTGTACTGTGTATATTTATTATGTATATATATATATA